CCTTGGGATTGCCTTGTGTTCTTGTTTTTATTAGAAATCACTGGACCTCCTAATCACTGACCTGCATACCCAATTAGATATTTGACTTTTACGGTCTAATTACTGTTATTTGTGCAGTGTGGTGAGTAACAAATTGATGCTTTATAAGGCTGAAGATTAAACCTTTGACTTGCAGACACAACTGGTTGGTGGCATCACTAGAGCACACCTGTGTAGGAGTAGGTGCCATGTGGAAGAATGTAGACTTACTGGTTGTGTAATTTAGCCTTTCTCAACCAGGGTGCCTTCTGGCTTCCTCAGGGATGCCTCTACATTTTCTGATGGTAGGACTGTAATGTGAAGGGGGAACTCTGATGTAAAAGGGGGGATTCCAATATAAATGAGGGGCATCTATTGTGAAGGGGGGCTTCTAATGTGATGGGGGGCTTCTGATGTGAAAGGAGGGGCACTTGGATGTTAAAGGAGGGAGCTTCTAATGTGCAGAGGGGGGGCTACTGATGTAAAAGGGGGATATTCCAATACAAAAGAATGACTTCTGATGTGAAGGTGGGCTTCTAATGTGATGGGGGGCTTCTGAGAAAAGGTGGGGGCTTCTGTTATGAAGGGGGGCTCCTGGTGTGAAAGGAGCTTTTAATGAAAGGTGGACTACTGATGTATAAGGGGGAATTCCAATATAAAAGGGGGGCTTATGTTGTAAAGGGGGCTTTGAATATGATGGGGAGCTTCCGATGTGAAGGTGGGGCTCCTGATGTAAAAGGAGGGACACTCTGATGTAAAAAGATGGAGCTTTTAATGTAAGAGGGACCACTGATGTAAAAGGGGGAATTCCAATATAAAAGGGGGCTTATGATGTGAAGGGGGCTTCTAATGTGATGGGTAGCTTCTGATATGAAGAGGGGGCTCCTGATGTGAAGTGGGGCTTCTGATGTGAAGGAGGGACACTCTGATGTAAAAGGAGGGAGCTTCTAATGTGAAAGGGGACTACTGATGTAAATGGGTCTTATGATGTGAAGGGGGCTTTTAATGTGATGAGGGGTTCTGATATAAAGGGGGGGGCTCCTGATTTGAAGGGGGGCTTTTGGTGTGAAAGGTGGGACACTCTGATTTAAAGGGTGACTCTGATGTTAAAGGGAATATTCTGATGTGAAGGGGAGGCTCTGATGTGGAGGAGGGCTTCTGAAGGGAGGACTTTGATGCAAAAGATGGAACCCCACTTTTTTGAGTTTTTGCTTGGGGTCCTCCTTACATTTTAGACTGGGATGCATTGAGATTTTGCATACTTTGGTCTTGGGTATGAAGCATAGAGCACAGCATAGAGATTAGAGTTGTCCATAGTATGTAATGAACAGCACAGCATATGGAGTGCCGCAGTCCAGAGTAGACAACATACAATATAATGTACAGTTCACAGGACAGGACAATCATACAGAGAGCTATAGTCCACAGTATATAATGTACTTCATATTAAATTAATCAAAATCTTTATATAGTTTTGATTTAATAATACATTCTGATCTGGACTTACACTGTCTCATCTCAGTATGCACAAACACGGTACAGTCCATGTCATTGCTTTGTTATGCTGATGCTGTTCTGTCCTTTCTGTCCTCAGTGATCCTGTCTGCGGCTTGTATTGTAGATTGTCATTATACACTGACACTTGATTAAAGCTTACAGAAGCTGTAATGTCATTCAAATCAAAGCGGAAAAAAATCTTTTATCAACCTTTTTATTTCAGCCAAATATAGAAAAAAACACCCTTTGACTAGTTAAAATACTGACTTGAATGATGTGCTTATATTATCTTCCTACAGCCTTCTACACAGCAGATGTTTTTTATATATAGAGGGGGAGCTATTGCACCCAAAAACAATTGGGCTCCTTTGCATTGCACAAAACTGCAAATCTAACATGTTATCAGGTACTGGAAGCTGGTGGAGAGCATATGGAGGACATGCTTGCTTTAGGAGTGTCCGCCTGCTATAGTCACATGATCAGTCCAAGAGTAGCTGAATAGAGAACAAAAGTAGTCCAGATTTAGGGGTCAATGACCTAGATGTCTTTTATATGTATCTTGGAAAAGACTATACAATCCCATACAAGTTTAAATTAGTCCTACCTTTTAAACCCAATTCTGGGTTTGGGTCCACCACCCCACGCTTTTCCCTAAAAGCCCAACTCTGGGCTCAGAGAATTTGGCCCTAAACCCTTTAAAATAAATATACATACATCTTCCAGATATCTTCAGTCTGGTTCAGTGACTGCAGCATTCTCCTATGAGTCCAGGATTGGGGGCACAGACCCAACACGCAGCGTGTCAACCCATGATAAGTGGGTTGAATGACGCCCAGTGTAAATATGTGGCACCGTTCTATGAAGCATTTTCCTGTGAGTCCAGGGCAATGGGGGCAGAGCCTTGATGGAGAGCCATGGAAGTGGGCTGAATGACAATGGCATCATTCAGCCCAGAAGAGGCATGACACCACATCACTGGTTTGGTAAGTCTTTCCCCCAGTGGTTGACAGAAACCGGGATACAACAAAGACTTAAAATGCTCAATGCAAACAAAGCAGTGGGTCCGGATAACCTGCACCCCAAGGTACTTAAGGAATTAAGCCAGGTTATAACTAGAAGTTAAAGTGAGTATAGCAGCCGGAACTGCTTTTTCATTTGTATGAGCTGCTGGGGGAGCCACCTAATGATATTTTGCCCAAGATGGAACTGGGCTTAAGGTTCACTTTGACATTTAATAAAGAAAGTTGATGTACTCGTATTCAGAATGAGTGCATCATAGTCTCAGACTGCACACCATGTGATACTAGTTGTAGAGTCCTTTGGGTAAAGTCATCTGTGAGGTAACAAAGGACCGCACTCTTTATTCTATTATTCTGTCACTTCCCATTTGTCTTCACAGATCTTTCATAATAGATCCTTCATAGTAAAACAATGTTATCTATGCAACCCTGACAAATAAACATGTTACAGTTCACATAGAATCAGATTGCCGTGTGCAATATTTCTGGTAGACTGTTTCATTTAAAAACCATTTTATTGCTGTATCCATTTAATCACCACCTGAACCCAGATGAATCTGCAGAGCTATTTTTAAAGCCAGTGCTTATTGAATGACTCAAATACTCAGTGATATCTTTAATAGCTGAGGAGCAGTACAAGGGGTTACATAGAACCTTAGCAAAGACAAAAGGGAGGCTGTCAATGGTGACCTCTCTTTCCAATAATGTTCAGATGTCTGGTTGTTATGTTGACCCTCTAGTTTCGATATTTCCTGAGACGCTGATCCAAAACTAGTATTTGGATTTCATTGGAGGCAAAATTGGGCCTTTAAAAGCCACTCGTTGGTAATCTGACTGGAATGTAGAACTTTAACACAGCTTCAACATGCTTTAGACATCAGCAGCCAGCAGACTGTCTTTACGTGCTATCTGTAGTGTCTTTATAGGAGGATACCAGGTGAACACAGTGTCCAGCCAATCTTCACAGTTTAATTTAATATAAAATTGTGTTTACAAATATAACAATGAAAGTTGGATATATGAAACAAAACCACAAAGTGCATTATATGTGGTGTTAAATGTATTTTCTCTGTATTCTCACTTATATCTCTACCTGTGATGTTGAGGTCCAAGCACCAACAGCCATCAATAACTCAATTTCTGAGTGACCCCGTATTGGTAACCCTTCTGGTAATACATCTGCTTGTCACAGAGAAAGAACATAAATCAGTAAGAGAGATGTAGAGACATTCATCTACTGGGGCTATAGCTGTGTGATGGAATATAAGAAGCAACATTCTAAAGAGACAACACATTTATAATACACTATCTGGTGGTCTCCTCGCAGCCATAAAGTCTTCAAATTTTCTGTGCAACCAGTCCATTGCTGCATCAATGTTTCCATGCAACCAGTCCATCAGTGCATCCTATGCAACATGCAATCGTCACTTTGGAACCTATGACCAACCATTACTTGAAGTTCATTTTTTTTTCTCTACTTTTGAAGTCTACCTCCTAAAACGTCTGTGGCTTTTTGTGCTCTGTCTGAACACCTGCTCCTTTGCACACCAATATACAATATGCAGGGCCGGATTTCCTACAAGGCCAACCAAGGCGCAGCCTTGGGGCAGCAGGGAGTAGCGGGGCAGCAGGGGTGTGGAATTCCTAACTCCCGATACCCGGGACATGTAGTTCCGGGCACCAGGCGGGTAGTTGTTTTCTACATTTAGCCCCGCTTTGGGCAAGCAGGGCTAAATGTACAGCGGGGAAGCCGCCACTTGTTTTGTACAAGTGATCCCGGAGTTGTTGCCGGGATCACTTGTATGCAGCCTGCAGGTCTGCCATTCACCATGGTGGGGGCAGGTAGGTCGGCACATTGAGGAACCTGTCCTTGGGGCGGGGCAGCAGAGAGAGTAAATCCGGCCCTGACAATATGCAGTATTAGCGTTCAGCACTAGGAGATTTACACTATTGGTTAATGTAAACGCAGATCCCTGGCACTGAGAGATGCCCTATCCTAATGCTGGCCATACAATCCCCATCCATGCTAACACTATACATGGAGGAATCCCCCCACCGGCCTGTTGTATTATGACAGCAGCAGGTGTGCCATTGTCAGAATACCCAAACAGTGACTGCAGCTTCAACTCAGTCAGCAGGACCAGTGTATGGCCAGCTTAAGACAACCATTCAAACTAACTCTCCCTGTAACGCCAACCCTTACACTAACCTTACCTTTGGCCTCAATTTTAATTCTAACCCTCCCTATAGTGATAACACTAACCCTCACACTAACTCAAGCTCAGAGGGGAATATTCACAAGGAAACCTAAACAGGACAACCAGCAACAACAGAAAAATCGAATGGCTTCTCTTTGCCTATTTAATTCCTTATCCATGTCAATATATGGGGGTGGGGAAAGTCAAAGCTACTACATTGCCTTATTCTCTCCATGCTTCTTATTCTTTGCCTTATTCTTTCAATGCTCACGGCTGAAAAATTAACACTCACACTGCCTCTCCCTATAACCCTAACCCTCACACTCAAGGTGGCCATACACGGATCAAAATTCAATCCATTAGTGGCCCTGCCAGCTCAGCAAAAGTCGATTTTTCAATAGACTTTTGTCAAACGAGTAATGTGAGAGATTGTGCAGCAGCCAAGACTTGGTCAATATAAAGCCAGCAGGGGAGATTCATCCATCCACACTCTTTAGCAGGAATGGTGAAATCAAGTGATTTTCTTAAAGTTCTGGCCAGCTTTCCAACCCCTGTAACACTAACCCAATACCAAAACATAGAAAAAGTATG